TTAGAGGATCAAATTGTGATATGGTTTCAAAATCATTAAGATGATCATAAAACATGATCCTAAAGTACTCTCCTATCATTTCAGAATTGAGAAACTTTTATCTCTCTACCAAATTTGATTCTTCTCATTCATTTTGCCATACATTATAACCTTTTCAACATAACAAAATTATACTTAAACTTGCAAGTATAACCATACTTACTAAACTTTAGTAAATCATGACGAATCGACCTTTGTGGTGGACCTTGACCAGCACACACCCAGTGTACCTGATCCCTTTAATCCTATCCTTGTTCACTTAAGGAATTAGTCTTCATTTTCTAAAGATGAAAATTCTCATCCGTCATACAATACAGTTTGTATGATTCCAAGTTTCGGTCCACTTGAAACTTGGGTGTTGAGAACCTTTCCTCATTTGGTAAATTCTGACACTACCACAAACTAATGAATCAAATCCACTTTCCAATATTGCTATTGCTGGAAACATATAAGCAACAATTTTTCACAAATGCCATTGTAAGTATATTTTTAAAATAAATAAAATTAAAACCCCCCTTTTTTATTTTAAAACTTTGCGGAAAAACTTATCCTTACAATCCATATGAAAACCTTGTTGTTATCTATTCCTAGGTAATACATCATAACTCTTAAGCAACAGCTCAAAATTCTAATCACCGAACCATGCGATCAAAACCCATCTTCGCAATCAGAATCAGCATATACTTCCTTTAAGCTTCCTATCTTTTCTTTGATTCTTAAAAACATCAACATGTGAGCCATTCACATTATGTAATAAGAATCTCCAAATAGGATCTTAATAGAGTTAGACAGTGGACTTTAACTGAAGTAGAGTCAAACTTCTTGACTTGATCAATCTTATGATCTTTCAGGTAAATATGGTTGCTTCGCAATCAACGTCCCTCCCTTTGGCAATAAAACATATGGACCCTTTGGTAATGGCACATGAGACTATCTCAGACTTAGCCTTTCTCTTTACCATTTGCTTAACCGAGTTGACTATGGCCGATCCCTTTCCATTGGGAAGAGAAATCCTTTTCTAGATATCCAATGCTACCATTGTCAATGTCCATTTAAGGTTTGGGAAGTTGATATTCTAACAAAATTTTCTTTACTAGTGTTCCAAATCATTGCTGATTCCGCAGTACCAAGCAAATACATAAGATCACTAAGGGTCATGTCATAGCCTGTCTCATAGTAGTCCCAAAGGGACTCACTTTGTTACCAAGAAAGTGATTGAACATCCAACTTTCACAATACTTTGACACCAAACTCTCCTGACTTGTCAATATGTGACTTTATCTCCAAGATGTGAGCACACATAGACTATTACTGCCAATAGGGCTTGAGTGACGTTAAACTTGTGGGTTAGGGAGAATAAATAGAGGAGGTGAAGGAAGAGAAGCATGATGTTGAGGGACATCATCTTTAAGAGGAAAGCTTGTTCCAAGAGATTTGGGAAGATCATAGTTGTCTGAACCACACATCTATAATGGGATATAATCAAGTTAGTTGATTCAAAATTCTTAATATAACACCCAATATGAAATATTAAGGCTAGGACCCAACACAATATTTTATAACTTGGAAGAGGGATGCTGTAATCCAATCTATAGAATATTTGAAGGTAGGTGAATGATGATTCACCAATTTCCACCATGAAAAACAAAATAATTTATTAGGTTTTAATTGGATTTAAAACTCCTAGATCTTTTGAGATTCATTGAACTTTTCAATGGCTTGTTTCAATCTCGAGTGTGCCCTTCAAGTTTTGTGACTGGGATGCCGAAGAGCACAAAACAAGATGTGAATAACCATACTAATTCACTTGGTACCCTTAATATTATCACCTAATCAATATGTTGGTTAACCACACACGCTCCATTGATCTATGAAAAACATTAATTCACCCTTCGTGATCCTTACTAGTCCAAGTTAGTGTGCCGGTTAACCACACACGCTCCACCAACGACTTGGTAAGGTACAAAGTGTGAATTCCATGGGGCTAGCACCATGCTCACATTTTTCCTAAAGTAACTAAGATTGGGAATTAAAATATTTAATTACTTTATAATAATCATCATACTTTTAATGAGAATTTAAAGTCATTGTCCTACCCGTTCGACTAACGACCCTCCATCGATCAAGGAAGCGGTAGGTGAGAGTGGACACCCATTAAGCTGTCCTTTTATAGGCAACAACCTTATACCCCCCCCCCTTATAGATCGGCTTCGTGAATGAGGCCTACTAATGGTAAACCGACTTATTCTTATACATATATATAATAATTAACCATTAATGTTATAAATAGTATAAGTGTTGAATTTTAACTATTAAAACTCTAAGGGTTGGAATTAAAGTTTATTAAAGTGTGTGAAACTTTACATATTCCATAACTTGAGGGCAAGTTTTGTATCCATTCACAACTTTTCATTTCATAACTTATAAATTAAAGGTTCATAAAAATAAGGACTCTTCAGTTTTATGTAACTTATGTGTTTTAAATGTGTGTTTAAAAGAAGTGACCTTTGGATATCCATAACTTGAGTACAAATTATGGACTCCATTAAAACACATAAATGATCAAGAATTAATCCTAAACAATTCAGCAAATAATTCATATCATCTTCTAAATTCATAAGAACATGAACATGATCATCAAAGTTTCAAGAATTATATGAACACATACAAAGCATGAAATTTTGATATAGGCTATTGTAAATGGATTAGAACAACCATTACACCGACTAAAAGAAGTTTTAAAACACCAAAACAATTTAGGGTAATGTTTCTAGTCCATTTCCAGCAACAAAAGTCAAAAACCTGCATTCTGAGGCTTCTACTCGCCGAGTGCACGAACCTACTCGACGACTAGGATGAATTTGGTCATGTACTTGGCGAATCCCCCCAAGGACCCGCCGAGTTCATCATGCAGACAGCAAGAAAATCGACTTTTTTCACTATTTTGCATCAAGTATCAAACAAACAAGCCTAGGCTCTGATACCACTGTTGGGTTTTGAGCATTCTAACACTTCCTAAGTGTACATGCAACCCTAATAAACCTTGGATCTATGTTTGTCTAAGGTACATGCAAAATATTATTTTCCAAGGTCTATAACCTATCTAGCATGGCATGGGGTACTTTTAAACATAAAAGAACTAGATGAATTATATACCTTTTGTTGATTGTTGATTCCTTGGAGTTTGAGAGCCAAGCACCAATAATGTGAATGCCTCAAATGGAAATCACAAATCACCAAAAACTTGGAAAATGTATGAGAGAGTATACTAACACTTAGAAATCGGCCACCACTATTATACACACTAGGGTGCTATTTCATGCAACATAAGCTTTTTTATATAGTGTGCATGGTTAGGGTGAAACCCTAATAACCCATGTCTTTTCCTTTCCAATGATCCATGGGTTAAAAGCTCCATGGATCATCTATGGACTTCCATATAAGCTTATCCCATTAACAATTGAGTATTAGCCCACACCATATAAATATAATAGCCCATGATTTAATTAAATAACATGACTTTATATTAATATATTATAACTTATAATATATTAATAAATCATAATTTCTCATAAAATTATCCATAAATAGTTTGGGTGAAGTGCAACCTAAATGAACCATGCCGGGTCGGGTCAAGTATATACCGAATAAGTTGTGGACTTAGACACCTTATCCAACAGCATCTGCAACCATTCAAAAGGAATACTGCTTCTCTTAATCTACATGTCTATCCCGAATGACATCTTATAAGTGTCTCTATATAGATACTAGACGACGACTTGATACATTCGTACTATGGGAATGCTTTCTCCTTGACATTGATCCTACGGTTTTCATCTTTTGGCATTGGGTTACTAAGTTTTTACTAAAAATTTAAATATGGTTTATATGTCTGATGTATCCCTTTAGTACTTGACGCTCTCTATTGAAAACTATATCACCTACTGAATTCATGATCATTTGCTATGAGAATATGTCTCTCGTCCGTGAAGGTACGAAAGTAAATGGTTCTCTTTTCTATCTGAGTCGTACCTACGAGTTTGGCTAATCCCTAAATCCTATTACTCAATGGGAAGGAAAGACCAACCTTTCCTTGGGATGCAAGAAACTCAAAATGAAATTGAGCTAACAACCTCAGCCTACTCGTGCTAAAACTCTCCTGGACCTTGACATCAGAATCGAAAGTCAAACTACTTTTCATACTTTCTCCTTAAGGGCAGATTCTCCCCCACTTAGGTTTGACCTATCATCTGCTACTGTTCATACCTAGCCGAATTCTGAACTGGCCTTGCAAACATGATTTGTAGCTCATTTTGACTTTGAAGAAAGTCATTTTTTATATCTAACAACCTTCAACTTTGTTAGAATAAATAAAGAGTTGATCGAAAGGTTCTTTGACAAAATAGTAAATAAAACAATGAAGCAATGATCAAAAGGGTGTTAAATGATTAATAATAAGTGCATTAGAAGAGCTTGACAAAGAAATTCTACAGTAAAGGCATAGAAGAGAATCACACGATGATTAACGCTAATATAACACATGCATGCAGTATTTAAAGCTAAACCCTAGCAAAATAAATACAAATGGATAGGCCCAAACTGTAATTGGGATAACTATATACATAACAAAATTTGACACAATCTTTTAAATAACCCAACAATCTTCCCCTTTGTATCAAATAAGGAAGGGAGTTTCTTCAATTATGTTGGCGGTTTTGAACAACACAAAGGTTTGGCATAATCCCCTGTAGATTCTTGCGAACCATGATGTACCAGTTGATCATATCATAGAAACACTTCTTGTCCCCAAAACTATTCGCTTTGCACTGACATATAAACTCCAAAATGTATTCCAAACATTGAGTGGAGAATAGATGCTTGTCAGGAAAGAAGAAGAAAGCTCTATGAAAATTAGCATAAGGCCTTTCTCGGATTTGAAATGAGACGCTCAAATCATCCTTTCATATCCTTCCCAGTTTCATCTTCTCAAGATCTTTCGGAGGTTCCATGGGAAGTACTAAAGGTTTCTCGCGAAGGACAGTTGCTATATCTACATCCATATTGCCAATCTCTTGGATGTACGAGACCAACATCCTTTTGATGTGTGCCACAATTGGTTCAAATTTCTGTTCATCCTTCATCAAAAGAAGCAATAGAGAAATCAAGTCAAAAGAATTAAGGTAGGTCAAATCAGCAAGAGTAAATTCAAAGAGAAAACTCGCAGCCCCACGAGCAACCTTGAAACGAGCATTGATGAAGCTGTCAGTTTCAATTGGTCCAATAACCTTAACAGTAGAAATGTTCTTATAGCTCCAGGTTTCGTATTTTGGCTTCATGTTCTTTAGATGGAACGATAATAACATTTGATCAGCACCATTATTAGAGAGAGGAACATTCTCTATTTTGTCAAAACAAAGAAACTGAAAGGCCTTTGGAGTGATTGACAGATCAAGATGCGAATCAGGAGAGATCTCCAAAATCAAATGATCCAACAGGTTCTAGCCAATAAACATTTGGGTTATCGATGGATTCATTGAAAATGTGTTCCAATGACCATAGAGGGAAAATAGTTTTCTAAGACTACAAAGTTTCCTCAGCTTCACAAATTGCCTTCTCTCACTCTTCATCCTCCCTAGCAACTTGCAGATTATCATCAATTTCAGCATCATGAGCTTTACGCTTTAAAGTCTCATTTGCATCCCCTTCTTCCTCATCATCACCACCAAGCTTCCCCTTTCATTTAGATCCCGAAGCTTCATTACCCTTCAGATGCTTAGCCTTTGGTTTTTATTTGTGATCATCACCACCATCAATTGCTTTACATCCAACAAAGGTTCTCCCTGGTTCTCCCCTTTGTTTTGTAAAAGAAATTTTGAAACACCCTGGATTCTGTCAAGCATGGAGAAGATGGGATTCAATTTCTCTGTAAGATGCCGATGAATAGAAACTGTGAGAAGAGAATCGCGAGTCTCAATAAGATTATGCAAGTCGACATTGACATCAACAACACAACTCTTGATTACAACTTTTTTAGATTTGATCGCTCATGACACTGCTTATTCGCATAAGATAGCTTAACATTCAGAACCTTCATCTTTCTAGTTTTGATTGCAAGTTCATCCATGAGCTTGTTCACGATGGCCAAATTATCCTGAAGCTTTTCGATTTTAGATGAGATGCATTTTTGAAACTCTGAGTAATCAGCCTAGATCTCCGTACGAACCTTCTTAAGAGCGTCTTTCTCACTTTGGAGTGTAGAACCACGGCTGTTGATAACCTTATTTGTTGTGGCAGTGTTGGATTCAAAAGAAGTTTTAAATTCACCAATAAAAGGTTTGAACATCAGAGAGTAGTTTTCGACTTTTTAGATCATATCCTTGCAAGCTTTTTGTGAATCCTCGACAACTTTATTTGTTTTTGCATGGTTTGTGTGACAACTGCCAATTCAGGTTATTCTTGGACTCATGCATCTTTATAATAACCATTCATGCACAACATGCCACGACCTAGTAGTATAGATTAGGTCAAAAATCTTGCATAAACTAGGATCCAACTAAGGTCTAGGACTAATATACTTGATACTTACAATTCTAGTAAGTTGCTTAGCTACAATAGGAAATGCCAATACTATAATTAGAATAAAGCTTCAAGCTTTGTTATAATTGAAATAGGGTATAAAACTCTAAAATTAAATTAAAACATTCTAATTATACTTCAACATGTTGTTAAATATCAAATAATATTCCAAAACCCTAAAGAGCCAAAAATCCAAAGTTATAAATTATAAAGCTTAAAAACTTTATAAAATTTGGCTATAAACTTCCTAATATCAAATTTTATTAATCAAATTATGGATTATACCAATGAACTAGAAATATAAATTACAAGTATTAATCATAAATTATTTGTTGAAAACAAGATTTTTAAATAAATCAAATTGCTTAATAAACATTTTATAAAAATGAATGTTTTTATATAAAATATAGGAGGGAAGTTTATAAAGTTTAAAATTTAGGAGAGAGGAGGCCAAAATGCATGCAAAAACCGGCCATCACCTCTCCCCATGCACTCTCTCTTCCCCAAAACACAATCATTAAGCTTAAACCCTTACTCCACCTCTTCCCTCTTCAATCTCTCACTTCACTCTCTTCACACACTTCACTCTCTTCTTCTCTCTCTCTAAACTCACGAAAATCCTCTCATTTCTCTGCAAAATTTCGAGATTGTGAAGCCCTTGAAGTGTTCTTACTTCTCTCAAGGTCAAAACCAAGGTAAACAACAACACCTTCTTCCATAGTTTCATGGTTAAACTTCTTTTCTTCTTAATCTTCTCTACTTTTCGGATTCTATGCCTTTCCATGGCTAGAAATCTTTATTCTCCCCTTGTGGTTTGTAGATTCTCACCATAACACAATGCATGTGTTAAAGATGGTGAAAATCCGGGATCAAACCCATGCAAGGAGTGGAAAAGATGCACATATGATCATGTGACATCAAAACATAATATTTCATGTTCTTCTACATTTCTTTTGTGTTCATGCATGACCAAAAGCATTTAAACCATTTTTAGTACATCTTGGATTGTCATTCATTCCATGCAAGTGTTAGAAATCGGGCCTTACCAAAGACATGCATGATGTTCTTGTTGAAATACCCTAATAATGCACACAAGCAAACATGCAATCTGCCAGATTACTTTGTTCGACTTTGAACAGTCATAACTCAGTCATTTCTTAACCAAATCATGATATTCTTTTTGTATTGGTTAGTTCCACGAGTTAACTTTCAAACCCAACTGGTCTCACTGTAAAATATTAAATATCCGATTTTTAGCAGATTTTACAAAAAGGTTGCGCATACAGCTCTTTTTCTGTGATCACTATTTTTATCTTGTTTAAACAATGGCCTTAAACCCAACCATAAATCTGAGGAAAAATACCTTAGAAACTTAACATATCTAGTGAATTATGGTTGAAATTTCGTGGCTTAAAACCTCACTGAATGGGCTACACAAATTCATGAACTTCAGCCACATTTACACTTCATGCATTATTGCATGCAACTTTTCTTAAATTGTTTGGAATCATTACCCTCATTTCTCTTCCGAATACATTTTTTTACATTTTTCCTTTTGAAAGCCCTTGCATGCATGAGATAATCTGGAAAATTTGAAGAGCTTTTGTTATTTCTTTGATTTATTAGAATTAGTGCTAAAACCAAGGGCATAAATCATATAAAATACTTCTAGAGGTCAATAAATCCTAAATAAATTCATGGATGATCCGTATGGGGAATAATAACCCCTCACCAAATTTCAACAATTTTTGTTACTGTTTAATATGATTTCTAATTTTATTTTGTTTAGGGTATGATAAATTACAAAACCACTTTATAGGATGTGAAAATTGTATCTAACAATTTTCGCATACCTTACCTGTGATGGGTGACTCCAAAAAATAATTTCAAGATTTTCCATCATGTTTTACTATTTTTACCAATTTTTGGGAGAAATAGCTCTGATTATCCAAAATAATGGGAGAAATAGTTCTGATTATCCAACATTCATGAAAATTTACCAGGATATCATATCATACAGTAGGAGGTTACATAAAAATTTTGTGGATTTTTCTGTACTGTAAACTATTTTTATCTTATTTTCTAAAGTTAATTCAACTAAAATACACTTAAATACACATAAATACCCAAAACCAGTTTATACATTATGAAAACCACTTTTGATATTTTTCCCAGGTTATTTATACTGTAAATGATGTTACAAAAATTTATGGTGATTTATTTTAAATGTTTAATATTATTTCTTTAATTAATGACTATTTAAAGGAATAAAACAAGGAAAAATAGAAATAACCACTGAAAAATATCTTTTATATTTTTCCCAGCCTATTTATGTATAATAACAATTAAATAAAAAGTTTGGGTAATTTTGGAAACTGTTTTCTATTTATTTCAATTTTTATTGGAATAAATGCCCATAAATCATAAAATATAATTAAACAGCTTGAAAATCCATTTTTATATTTTTCCCAGCTTAGTATTGTGTAATAACAGTTAAATAAAAAGTTTGAGAATTTTTATCCCTCGAATGCTATTTTTTGTGAATTTATGTTGTTATAGAGACTTAAAATTTGGAAAATTAACCTTCCAAAGTTGTAATTAATCACTCGACATGGAAACTCACTAGTGTGTGTTTGATGTCGTAGGATCCCGGTAGTAAGACGTTGGTGCATCCCGAAGTACCGCTTGTGCCTACACGAAACGTCGTGAGTATTCACGCACTCCCCTATTTTCGGTTTTTATGTTTTAGGGTGGAAAAGCATGTCCTAAACTATTTATGTTCGTTATATTTAATTGACTCACATAACTTGATTACTATATTTTGCATATTGTGAGTATTCACGCACTCCCCTATTTTCGGTTTTTATGTTTTGGGGTGGAAAAGCATGTCCAGAAAACTATTGTTTGCATGATGTATTTAAATTGTTTATTATCAAACATGATTGCTATTGTATTGCTATGTATCTTTATGTATGTTTATGCAACACGGAACATGAGAACTTATCGTACTAAGGCCCTTCCCTTATCTCTAACCATTAACTCTTTGAGCCAATGGTCATTATGGATAGCGCTATTAGGAATTGACAACTCCTCACTCGCCCAAATCGCTGGAGTGCATGATACCATATTCATCTATGGAACAATAAGCATAGATCTCGATAGGGCTTCAGTCATAGGTTTGGTTGAGACTCATTGTTTGCTCATACACATACAAACTCGTTTCTTGTTATAGCAATAAACTTGTATTCCTTAATAGCAATCAACTTGTTTATCATTAAAGCAATGTACTTGTATTTACGAAAAGCCTTGTTGTACGCTCGATTCTATAAACTTGTGAACTCACCAACTATTTTCATAGTTGATGCTCGTTTTACATGCTTTTTCAGGAGGTAATTAGTAAGTGGATGTAAAGATTCATCATCATAGAGCATGCCGCATCGTGTTGAAGCTATTATGAAGCTATATTTTGAACAATGTTATTTTGAAAAACTTGTATTTTGTTTCTTTTGAAGCTATGGGTTGTAAACTTTTAAATACTGCTATGGTGATGTATCTTTATCTTTTGCATTGAAACCGTTATCGCTGTCATACCTTGCGTTTCCGCTTTAGCGGGGTGTGATAGTTTGCAACATGCTCTTTCGTCACATTCTCAAGCAAAGCTTGTAAGACTCAATGGAATATTTTGAGCTGGAGGAAGACTTGGAAGATTCAAGCAAGGAATCTAGTTGTCTTGGAGTACATTGAACTGACTTTTGGTTATGGAGGACATCATCATCGTCCCCATTGA